CTGTTTCCTTGGAACACCTTCCTACTGCTCCTTTCCCCTCAGGTTGCTTCAACTGGCATGAAGCTAGATCCCTAACCTTCAACTGACAGCTTAGAGAAGGTGCTTACTATAAATCAGAAGGATTACCTATAGGCTACTGATATTTAAATCTTTGGATGTTCTACAAAGATCACAGCCATCTACGATTGTAGAGAAAATGATCTGGTGAAAACTTTCACAAAGCTGCTACAGAGTTATTAATCTCTTATGCAATCAGAAATTTTCTCCTCAGTCTACCACCCAAACCAAACCAGATTCCATGAAGTACTAAAATATAGGGGTGGGGGAGAAATTTACTTTTGTGATATGCCACACCTTCTACCAGATTTTTTTTTTTTTTTTTTGACAGGGAATCTTGTTGTGTTGCCCAGGCTGGAGCACAGTGGCACAATCTCAACTCACTGCAACCTCCCGCCTCCCGGGTTCAAGTGATTCTCCTGCCTCAGTCTCTCGAGTAGCTGGGAGTACAAGCATGCACCACCACACCCAGCTAATTTTTGTATTTTTAGTAGAGATAGGGTTTCATCATGTTGCATGTTGGCCAGGCTGGTCTTGAACTCCTGACCTCAAGTGATCCACCCACCTTGGCCTCCCAAAGTGCTGGGATTACAGGCATGAACCACCACATCTGCTTTGTAAAAGAATATTTGAGGGAACTACTGAGAGAAGAAACAATTCATTTCAAAACTCTCATAGGAAAGAAGTCAACATAATGAGCTTCACTGCTTGATGTTAAATTAAACGAGCAAAAAGAATGTGGCGGAGTAAAGGGCTGCCACTGCTAACACCTAGTGCCAGAGGAATAAAGAAAAATAAGGCTCTCAAAGGACTCATGAGTGCCATATCAGCTTTATTCCCTCCCCTCACTCTTGATCATGATCGAGATTTAGCTTAAATCATACAGATACAATAATATTAAAATAAATATTTCCTCAGTGACCCCATCCCAGAAAATTACTCAAATGAAAGAAAAGTGAGTAGAAAGTGGAAGTAATCGAAGGAATATACACACTGTTAGGAAACTATGATCACTGGAAAAAGCAACTGGTTAACAACCAGATTGTAAAATTATGTGAACTAGCTTTAGCACACATTAACTTGAACAGTCTACGGGTTCTTCAAATACCTGATTATTCTGATTTTCAAGTCTTGGAGAAAAGCTGGAAATTGCTGGGGAGGCTGCAGAGAGTTCCTGGAGTTTTATATCAATTTCAGCAAGCTGCTGATGCTGGGTGACTGCCAGTGCATATCCTTTTACTGGGACCACCCAGCCAGACTGATCACCCTAAGAGGAAACAAGGGTCACCAGGTCATTCCCAGGCTATATTTTTGCCAAAATATACCTTTCAGGGGGCTACAACAATGCCCAGGACTTCACACAAACACACACACACACATGCACAAACACACACACACAAACAGAATTAACATTGGGTTAGTAAAAGAATAATATGAAATAGTTTCTGGTTTTGTTATCTGCCAGCCTGCATAAAGTATCTCCTAATATTTTGATGGGGGTTTCCCCTGTGGAACAAATCTCTTAGTTTCACAGTCTGGTTCTCATGACATTCTCATTTATCTACATTCAAAAAATGTTTTGTGACATGTTAAGTAGGAAGAAAGCAGGTTTACCCTGTAATGGAACATGGTATTTTCAAACTCTGTTCCTTAAAAGTAACACAGGGTCTATAAAATCAGTTGCTTTGGTTTCACAAACGTAACTGATCATCTTTCATTCAACTAATATTTGTTCCATATTAACTCATAAAACCCATTCATTACATTCATTCAAAAATCTCATACTAAACGCCTACTGAACATATATATTATGCTAGGCACTGGTGATTCGATAAGAATATCACAAGGTTCTGCCCTCGAGGAGTTCTCAATTTCTTGGCAGCAACAATTTTAACAAGGTATGAAGAGTGCTGGTAAGCCCTGGGCACCACGGGAACCAGAGAGGATCAACTAACCTCTGTGGGCAGGAAAGGGCTGGAGAAAACAGGACCTTAATCAAGGAAACACCATGATCAGGTCTGTATTTTAAAACTGGAACTACTGAGAGCAAGAGTGGAGGCAGAAAGCCCAGTTAAGAAGCAATAGTTATAATCTAGAACAAAAGTGCTGAAAGACTGAACTAAGGAATGTTTTCTGGGAACACAGAACAGAATCCAGAGATATACAGGAAGTAGAATTTACAGAACCTGGAGGTAATTTTGTGGAACAGTACAGGGAGACATAAAGATCAAGGATGAAGAACAAGTTCCTCAAGACACGGATGCCCACTGTCACCACTCCTATTCAACATAATACTGGAAGTCCTAATCAGAGTAATCAAGAAAGAGAAAAAAATAAAAGGCATTCAAATAGAAAGAGAAGAAGTTCAACTATCTCTGTTTGCAGACGACATGATTCTATACCTAAAAACCCACAGTCTCTGACCAAAAGCTCCTATATTTGACAAACAATTTCAGCAAAGTTTCAGGATACAAAATCAATGTACAAAAACCAACAACATTTCTATACACCAACAACATCCAAGCTGAGAGCCAAATCAAGAACGCAATTCCATTCACAAGAGCCGTAAAAAGAACAAAATACCTAGGAATACAGCTAACCAGGGAGGTGAAAGACCTCTACAATGAGAATTAAAAAGCAGTGCTCAAAGAAACCAGAGATGACACAAACAAGTGGAAAAATATTCCATGCTCATGGATAGGAAGAATCAGTATTGCTAAAATGGCCATATTGCCCAAAGCAATTTACAGATTCAATGCTATTCTAAAAACTACCAATGATCTTTTTAACAAAATTAGAAAAAGCTATTTTAAAATTCATATGAAACCAAAAAAGAGCCTGGATAGCCAAGCCAATCCTAGGCAAAAAGAACAAAGGACGCATCACGTTACCTAACTTCAAACTATATTACAAGGCTACAGTCACCAAGAGAGCATAGTACTAGTACAAAAACAGACACAGAGACCAATGGAACAGAAGAGAAAGCCCAGAAATAAAACCACACACATATAACCATCTGATGTGCAACAAAGTTGACAAAAACAAACAATGGGGAAAAGGACTCCCTGTTCAATAAACACTGCTGGCATAACTGGCTAGCCATATGCAGAATATTGAAACCAGAATTCTTCCTTACACCATATACAAAAATTAAGTAAAACCTAAATCTATAAAACCCTTGGAAGATAACCTAGGAAATACCATTGTGGACATAATCCCCGTCAAGGATTTCATAATGAAGATGCCAAAAGCAATTGCAACAAAAACAAAAATTGACAAATAGGACCTAATTAAAGAGCTTCCGCATAGCAAAAGAAACTATCAATAGAGTAAACACAATTACAGAATGGGAGAAAATATTTGCAAACTATGCATTCAACAAAGGTCTAATATCCAGAATCTATAAGGAACTTAAGCAAATTAATAAGCAAAGAACAAATAACCCGATTAAAAAGTAAGCAAAAGACACAAACAATTTTCTAAAGAAGACACATACATAGCCAACAAGCATATGAAAAAAATGCTCAACATCACTAATCATTTGAAAAATGCAAATCAAACCACAATGAGATACCATCTCACACCAGTCAGAAAGACCATTACTAAAAAGTCAAAAAAATCACAGATACTGGCAAAGCTACAGAGAAAAACACCTATATGCTGCTGGTAGGAATGTAAATTAGTTCAGCTATTGTGGAAAGCAGTGTGGCAATTTCTCAAAGAACTTAAAACACAAGTACCATTCAACCCAGCAATCTCATTAATGGGTATATACCCAAAGGAATATAAATCATTCTACCATAAAGACACATGCATGCAGGCCAGGTGCAGTGGCTCATGCCTATAATTCCAGCACTTTGGGAGGCCAAGGCAGGTGTATGGCTTGCGCCCAGGAGTTCAATACCAGCCTGGGCAACATGACAAAACCTCATCTTTACAAAAAAAATTTTAAAAATTAGCCAGATGTGGTGATATGCACCTGTAGTCCCAGATACTCAGGAGGCTGAGGTGGGAGGATCACTTGAGCCTGGGAGGTCGAAGTTGCAGTGAGCCATGACAACATCACTGCACTCCAACCTGGGTGACAGAGTAAAACCATGTCCCAAGGGTGGGGGGGTGGGGGAAGGCACATGCATGCATATGTTCATCGCAGCACTATTCACAAAAATCAACCTAAATGCCTTTCAATAGACTGGATAAAGAAAATTTGGGACATACACACCATGGAATACTATGCAGCCATAAAAAAGAATGAGATAACGTCCTTTGCAGCAACACAGATGCAATGGAAGGCCATAATCCTAAACAAAATAACACAGGAATGAAAACCCAAATACTGCACGTTCTCACTTATAAGTGGGAGCCAAACATTGAGTACACATGGACACAAAGAAGGGAACAACAGATACTGAGGCCTACTTGAGGGCAGAGGGTGGTAGGAGGGAGTGGATCAAAAAACTACCTATTGGACACTATTCTTATTACCAGGATGATGAAATAATCTGTACACCAGAGTCCTGTGACATCCAATTTATCTACAGAACAAACCTGCATGTGTACCCCTGAAGCTAAAATAAAAGTATTTTATTTGTTTAAAATAAACAACTTAAAAAATAATAAACTTTGTTATGGCCTTACCAAAAAAATAAAAAGAACAAGTTCCTGATTTTGTGAAGTCGGTGATGGTGTGATGGTGGTCACGTTATCCAAACTAGGGATTATATAGATGCAGTAGGTTTGAAGAGAAAGCTAATGAATTGTTTGGGACCTTTTGAAACTGGCAGACATCCCCCTAGGATATCCACAGATTATGTTAGGCAGTTAAATTCTTTTATGTGAAATTCAAGATAGAGACTTGGGATTGAAATAAATACACTTGACTTACCCACATATCTACAGTGGTTCAAACCCTGGGGGCTGTGAGAATGGATAAGGTCATAAAGGGAAGCATTAGTGCAAAAAGAGGACAGAAGCATCATGAAGAATATTTGGAATAACGTGGCAAGTAGAGGGCAACGAAACTTATTTCATACATTTTGATTTCAAGATGCTAATACCAGGAATTAAGCCCTAGGTGATAATCAGAGGCATTACAGGTAAAAACTTTATGCAGCAAGACTTTTATATTTTTATCCTCTTGACCCTGGCATTCACAGTCCCTGTTTCAGTGAAACCAAACAGTGTGTGGGTCTTGGCAGGGAAGGATCACGACAAGACACTCCTCTCCACTCTCTGACATCGAGACAAACGGATGACCTAGACTCGGCTAATCGAAAGCAAACACCCCGAACCTTGAGGGACAGAAGCAAAGCTGCAGGGAAATGATTAATGGAGACAGTGATGGTAGCAGCAATGAGCATCTCTTGGAGAACAAACGTCTGGTGGAGCCAGGGGCAGCCAGCCCCTAACCAGGCTGTTCCTAAAGCCATGTCTATGGCTGCCTGGACATCTGCCTGGTGTACAAACCTGGTTCCCCAAACTTCCCATTGAGTCTATGGACTACTCACAACTCCCAATAAATTCATTTTGTGTTGCTTTAGCCAAAGTCCATCTTTGTTACTTGCAACCCAGAACAATGACTGATAAAAAATTTATTGCCATGCTATTTATAATAAAACATCTAAAAATAGGGGGAAAGTGGGTAGATTGTAGTATATCAATATAAGGATTATGATATAGTCATGAATGTTCTTAAATACACTTGTAAGTTGGTATAAAGAAATTGAGCCTCAGTGAGGTTCAGGTAGCTAAAGGCACACAACTCTAATAAACTGACAGAAGTCCAGGTTCTGATTTAAATTCCATTGCTCTCCGTTGAAAATAAACATGAACAGCTTAAAAAAAAAAGTTATGCATAATTTTTAAAATATATTACCTAATTACTCACAAACTCTAGTAATTTTTCCTAAATAAAGGTGATGTTAATACCATATAGCCCAAATGATAAATAACAAAGAATCACAGAAAAGTAAAGCTATGAAACCGATGATGAAATAGCGGCTAATAGATTTTAAATTCTTGTCTGAATGGGATTATTTTCAAATGACGCTGAAGTTAAAAGAGCATGTCAGATTAAATTCAACAGAAATGTAAATGTTTCATGCACTACACCATTACAGAAATAATGTATGTAAGAGGTAGTAAATGGCATCCTTTTTTTCTATCTGTGTAGCACCTCTACACACCCTTGCTATGTGTGGGGAACTTCTAGCTTTTAGGAATCTTACCTTTCCAAGATAGAACAGAAAATGCTCTTCACCAGCATCCTTTACAGGTAGGGTTCATGCAGGTAACTAAGGGTCCACACCACCAGACTCCCCAACTCAGTACTACCAGATGTGAGTGACCTGAGATCTGATCTAAACCCATTTCACTGGTGAGGGTGGTAGTAGAGACAGCTTAGGGGGTGCCATTCATTGCAAGTGTGAGTTCCCAACACAGATGAAAATATTTTTTAAATTCTAAATAAGTATCCTAGAGCAATAGTCCCCAACATTTTTGGCACCAGGGACAGGTTTCTTGGAAGACAATTATTCCATGGACTGGGGGGCAAGGTTAGAAAGGATGGTTTCAGGATGAAATTGTTCTACCTCAGATCATCGGGCATTAGATTCTCAAAAAGAGCAGACAACCTAGATCCCACCCATGTGCAGTTCACAATAGGGTTCGTGCTCCTGTGAGAATCTAATGTGCGGCTGATGTGACAGGGGGCTCAGCTCAGGTGGTAATGCTCGCTAGCATACCGCTCATCCCCTCCTGCTGTGCAGCCCAGTTCCTAACAGGCCATGGGACCAACAGGTACCAGTCCCCTATCCTAGAGAGATTCAAGAGAATGTTACATCCATAAAATTATCCATGACGGCTGGGCACGGTGGCTCGCACCTATAATCCCAGCACTTTGGGAGGCCAAGGTGGGCGGATCACCTGAGGTCAGGAGTTCAAGACCAGCCTGGCCAACATGGTGAAACCCTGTCTCTACTAAAAATACAAAATTAGTATAGTGCAGTGGCAGGCACCTGTAATCCCAGCTACTTGGGAGGCTGAGGCAGGAGAATCACTTGAACCTGGGAGGCAGAGCTTGCAGTGAGCCAAGATCGTGCCATTGCACTCCAGCCTGGGCGACAAGAGTGAAACTCCATCTCAAAAAAAAAAAAAAAATTATGCATGCCACTAAAAAGAACAACCAGAGAAGAGGAGTTCAGGGGGAATTAAAACATAATTATCATTTTAGTCACTTTCTTTAAGTTGTGCATTTATTTGTCAAAGATGAGATTGTGGGGCACTTCATAAAGGAAAGGGCATATTTGAAAACACAGATATTTAAAAGAACACAGAGAATTTGAGGAACAGCAAGAAGTTTGGTATGATTTGAGAATATAGTAAATAGATTCCTTCTTCAAAGTTTTCCTAAACTTTTCCTGCTGCACTGCTTCTTCCTCTGAATTTCTATTCTAACATTTGCCACCATCCATCTGACTCTAGAATTTCTACGTTCACCTCCCACATCAGATAAGAGGACTTGCAGAAAGAACGCTCAGTAAATATTAGTGTAAATATATATATATATTCTTTTTTTTTTTTTTGAGATGGAGTCTCGCTCTGTTGCCCAGGCTGGAGTGCGATGGCACAATCTTGGCTCACTGCAACTTCCACCTCCCAGGTTCAAGCGATTCTCCTGCCTCAGCCTCCTAAGTAGCTGGGATTACAGGCGTGCGCCACCACACCTGGCTAATTATTGTATTTTTAGTAGAGATGGGGTTTCACCATATTGGCCAGGGTGGTCTCAAACTCCTAGCCCCAAGTGATCGTCCCACCTTGGCCTCCCAAAGTGCTGAGATGACATGCGTGAATCACCACGCTGGGTCTAAAAACAATTGTCTTTAAAAATCTCAAAAGAGAGCTGCGTAGCTAAGCAGCAGAATAGACATGGTTGAAACCCAACTTAGAAAACTGTATAATGAGCTTATATGTACAAAATGGCAAAAAAGGTTAACATTATGAGAAAGATGTTATAAGACCTGGAAGAGAGATCCAAGAGGTCCTATAGCCATCTGTGGCAGACACTGTCTACTGACTGACATGATCCCCATTTCTACCTCTACTACAAAAAAAGAGAAAGCCATATACCTGACTCCCCCTTCTCACTTGCAGCAACATACTGAACAAACGGCTATATGTGTACAGCTTGGCCGGTGAGATGCAGGTAGAAGTCCTGGGGACACCATTCCATCCCCAGTGAAAAAGCAAAGCCTCAGAGGAGAGTCTCTTCGCTCTTTATCCTTCCCTCCTCTTGTCTGCCTGGAAGATGGACACACTGCCTACAGATGCAGCGGCAATCTCGCAAACCTAAAGACAAAATCCACAAAGGAACGCAGAACCCGAGGACAGAAAAACATAAGCTGCTCACCCCTGGATTTCTTGTTACCCCATTTACAGGTATCCCAAAAGGAGAAAAAAGAGATGATGGAAAGGAAGAAATAAAAAACATAAACTTCTGAGCTGAAGGAAGATTTAAACCTTCAGATAGAAAGAGCCTACAAGGGCCGGGCGCGGTGGCTCAAGCATGTAATCCCAGCACTTTGGGAGGCCGAGACGGGCGGATCACGAGGTCAGGAGATTGAGACCATCCTGGCTAACACGGTGAAACCCCGTCTCTACTAAAAAATACAAAAAACTAGCTTGGGTGTGGTGGCGGGCGCCTGTAGTCCCAGCTACTCGGGAGGCTGAGGAGGAGAATGGCGTGAACCCGGGAGGCGGAGCTTGCAGTGAGCGGAGATCCGGCCACTGCACTCCAGCCTGGGCAACGGAGCGAGACTCCGTCTCAAAAAAAAAAAAAGAAAAAAGAAAAAAAAAAAGAAAGAGCCTACAAGGCACCAAGCAGGAACTGAAATGTTTTTAAAGACACACACAAATACAATCTGATAAAATTGTGAGCTCCAAAATAAGGGGGAAATTCTACATGCTTCAATAAACAAAGGATTTTGCATGCAGAATTTAGTTATCTGCTAAGCTAACATTCAAATGAGGAAAAAATAAATATTTGAATACACAAACACTCAAAAATTATCCACACTCCACTATTTCTTGGTGCAAAATTTTTCAAAAAAGTTCCAGAAAAATAATTCAAGGAATGACTTATACAAATAAATGATTTGTTGAGTCCAAACACACAGTTAATGGTGCGGCTAAAAATTTTGGCTAACTTTTGTTGAGAGAGATTCCTAACATACAAGAAGCATACTATTTTTAAAGGTTAAGATTAAAATGCGTAATATTCCAGAACTAAAATTCCAGATGATTTCAATATATCCTGGAGGAAAGAAAATGAAACACAAGGGAAATAAAAGTACACCAAAGATCCAATCTTGTTAAAATATGAAATTTTAGAAACTAATTATGGAAGTTGAAAAGAAAATATGAATTGTAATATATTTTTAAAACTTGAAGGTTAACAGTACACCAGATCAGAAATAGGATATTAAGTTTCCAAACCACAAGGGAATAGGGAGATAAACAAAAACAAATATGATAAATAAAATATAAAGTTTGATGTCAGGAAAAGATTCAAAAAGTATGTGGTCATAATGATTATGAGTAAATTAAATATCCTCATATTGATAATAACAAAAGATAAAGGATGACAAAACAAAGATAAAGACACAAAAGCAACAGCAAACGCCCAGCTACACAGTACCTGTAAAAGATCAAAAACTAAAATGACAGACATGACTTTAAAATAGAAAGACGACATAAATACTAACAAAAATAATGTGCAAAAGGCAGTATTATTAACAAAAAGTCATTATGAAAGCATTCCTAGAATGTATAAAGAAAATCTATCGCCATAGTTCGATATGCAGTGAGACCATGGGTAGCAGTACTGAACTTCACAATTAATAACAAAACCAGAATGAAACCCAGATCCCTTAATTCTTACTGGTATCTAAGCTTTTGTTAATAAAGCAGACACATTACAGTTATGTGTCGCTTAATGACAGGGATATATGTTCTAAGACAGGTATCACTAGGCAATTCTGTCATTGTGCAGAAATCACTGGGTGTCCTTCCCAAACCTAGACGGTAGAGTGTATTACACACCTGGGCCACATCGTAAAGCCTATTGCTCCTGGGCTATAAACCTGTGCAGCATGTTTTGTAGTTACTGTGTTGTAGGTGATTGTAACACAATGGGAAGTATTTGTGAATCTAAACATATTAAAACATAGAAAAGGTACAATAAAAATATGGTATAAAAATATTTTTAATGGCACACCTGTATAGGGCACTTAACCATAACTGGAGCTTGCAGGACTGCAAGCTGCTCTGGTGAGTCAGTGCTTGAGTGGTGAGTGAATGTGAACGCCTAGGGCATTACTGGCTGCTACTGTAGACTTTATAAACACTGTACATTTAGGCAACACTAAATTTATTTTAAAATATCTTTATTTAATAATAAATGAATTTTAGTTTACTGTATAACTTTTTTACTTTTAAAACTTTTAAATTTGTTTAACTTTTTCACTCTCTTATAATAACACT